TTCGGGGCTTCACAGAGGGGGAGGAACATCAAAGTGAAGGCAAATCGAGAGGGGGATAGAATAATGAATGACAGATGTAAAAGAGACAAACAGACAGAAAGGCATAGGAAAGGTAAGATGAGTATCGTGAAAGGGATCGAATATGACAAACAGTCGGGTCATACTAGTTTGAAGTCAGAAATCAACTGCCGAACAATCGACTTTTTGCCGTAAGAGCATACGTTGCCCAGGATGCACCACGTGGAGGTAAGTCTATTGCGCACCGAAGTTAAACCCCGTCGGGCCGGGTTAGTACTTGCATGGGTGACCGGCTGGTAATACCCGGTGTTGCTGACTTCTTGAGGTGCGCAATAGACTTACCCAGATGTGGTGCACCCTGGGAAACGTATACTTATACGGCAAAAAAATCGATTGTTCGGCAGTTGACTTCTGACATCAAACTACTGTGGTCCGACTATTAAATAAAATTTATTTATTTATTTATATCAAATGGCAGGCGTTTTGATAGTTATCGTAAGCCCTTTAGTTGACTTCAGGCTTCACAGAGAGGAGTAGGAACATCGAAGGGAAAAAAGTCGAGAGGGAAGAGGAGGGAAGAGAAGAGAGATTCAAAGATGTAAAAGAGACAGACACAAAGGTAGAAAAAAGGTGAGGTAAGTACTGTGGAAGCAGTCAAATATGACATAGAGTGGGATCATGGCAGTTTGAAGTGAGAAGTCAACTGCCGATTAATAGACTTTTTTGAAGTGCGAATATGACATAGAGTGGGATCATGGCAGTTTGAAGTGAGAAGTCAACTGCCGATTAATAGACTTTTTTGCCGTATGAGAATACATTGCTCAGGGTGCACCACATGGAGGTACGTCTATCGCGCAACCCTATTAAATAAAATTAAGATCTGGCAGGAAATCGACTTTGAGAAATGGATATTACTGTTTTTTGTAAGTAACAAGTTATTTGAATTCTAATGAGAGAAAACGTTTTTATCCTAATAATCTAAGAAACTAACAAAGTTAAGTATTGTCTTCCATTAGTGGTGCATAAATTGAAGATAAGCACATTTAGACGCCAAATAATGGAACAAATGGGGGAGAGGGGAAAGCGTTTAAAAATCCACCAATGCTTACATATTAGTCCGTTAGAATTTCTTCAGGTTAATTGACAGTAATTAACCCTTGAGAATAGGCGAAGAATCTCTAAAGAGAATTACTTCTTGATATTAGGCAAAATTTATCTTAAAACATCGACTTCTAAGTGGAATTATAACAGCCAATGGGTCTGGGGCGGTATATGCTCACAAAACCAACAATTTTTTAATTTAACCCTAAATCATAAGGCACAAATACAATCATCTTACAAAAGCGTATTTAGTAAAATTGCATAACCCTGACTATCACAAAATAGGTTGATTCCCTGTTTGATGATTGGAAGAAGTTAGTTACATAAATATATGTTTGTAGTTTCAATTATAAGTATAATAATACTATAGCGAGTAATACTATTTGAAATCTGTACTATTATCCCGAAATTATCCATAACTGATACAAGTTTGCCACATAAAAATAAAACAATGTTATTTATAAAAATCTACAACTTCAAATTTGATCAAAATAATTAGACAGAGTTGATCACTGACTATATCCGAATTAGTATTATTAAATCTACTCATAAGGTTTCTATGATTTAAGTATTAAGTATGTTAAAAATGTACATTTAGGGTAGTGTACATTGTTTCAAATATTAAAAGGTTTATAATTTAAAACATAATCTATATATAACGTTGTCCTTTTCAATTTTTTAACCAAAAAACTCAATAGAGCAATTTATTGATTTGTAAGTTTTTAACTGCATCTCCACTATACTACTGCTGAATTTGGTAAAATTTTGTCCGATATATAAGTTGCACAGTTTAATTTTCTGTAAAGCTGCGAAAGTAATAAATAATGTAACTCTCAATTTTTATAAACATGGTATGAGGTAATTTAATATAGAATATAGTGTTCGGTCAACAGTAGTCTATTGCCAAAATGACACTTGGGAGGAAATAAAAGGCTCATCTATGCTCATTCAGAAAGAATTTAAATCTACTTATTCTTAATGATAAGTAAGCAATAATTATTGATTTTTAATAAGTTAAGATGCTTATTTACTTGTAAAATGTGTGTTGCAAATTCAGTTGAATATCGTGCTTTAGATACACACACAAATTCATAAAAACTAACACATTCAAATTATTCTAAAAGATCTGCAAACAACCTATAGATAGAGAGCTGCATTCACTGTTAGTTTGTGAGGTGAGATGACAATATATCGAACAGCCACAGTTTAATATAATCTTCACAACTATGTGTTTTAAATCCAAAAACGTAAATAAAGTATATTGCTCAGGCATATGAACCATAAATACCCTAATTATTTTTTATAAAATTAAGGCTAAAATTAAAAATACAAATCGAACAAAAGTTGATCAAAATAATAAAAACAAAAGCTAGCATTAAACCATTGACAAACTTTACCGGTTTTATTAACACTTAAATAATTTTTTAAATAATTATAATGCCTTAAATAGTAATGAAAACACAGCCGTTATAAATAATATATTTGAATCAACTTAAAACAACAGATTACAACAATATTCTAAATAAAATTTTACAAAATAATTTTGTGTTATAGTCAATGTTTAACTGCTCTATTTAGGGCTTACGCTTGATCCTGGTCAGTGCGCTCTCTTGAAGTAATTTTCAATTTCGGATATTTAGCATGCGATGCGCCGCTCCACACCTGGAGTCTTTAGCAGCATGGAGCCTCATACCCCAAGAGTGTGTGGGCCTAAATCAAAAACTTCATTTCGGGCGAGTTCTGATGACTCCAGACGTTGTGTTCCTCCACCGGTGCCTTGCCGAAATCAGCCTCCTCCTCTTCCCCCAAAACATTGCATTCGCAAGAATTCTGGAGTTGAATTTAGTAAACGTAGGGAAGCCGTTGATCCCTTGGATTATGGAAAATATGTCTATGAATCAATAAACGAATGTTGCAATAGAAGTGCGCCTTATGAATCGAGAACCTTTAAATTACCCTTTTCCACTTTTCCAATTGACCCCAACACTGAAATGCTCAAGGGACCTTGTACATGTAGCCTGGGAACTGGTGGAGGGACCAAATCATCGTTTAACTCCAATAGCCAAAGTCCTGTATGGTCCAAAATGCCTTCACGTCCCTCTGAATCTTCCCAATCCACAACTTATCCGGGCTCAAGCAGCATTCGTGATCCTCCTCCTAGCAACGAGAAAATTTCCTCAAACGTGGATAATCGTCCATGGACTCTTTCCCGGTTTTCTAGAACAATGAGTCGCATCTTTCGATTGAAAGGCTCTCATAGAAATAGCAAATCTAATTCCATCCGCTCCCGATCAGTTTATTTTACTGAATTTCCAGATAAGTTTAGTGTAAATGCTACGCCGGGGCCCTGTTCCACGAGAGTAGGTTTATCTCTTAGTTTTAGCCTAATATTCTATTTTCGATTTTGACTTGTTTTATTCTATAGGCCATGAGATCCCCGGTTTCTAATTCACCTGTTGTAACACTTCCTTCATCTCCAACACTCCCACTTCCTCCAACAAGGAAAGGAGAACCTGGAACTTCTACGGTTTTGTGTCACGATGCCGTTCAGACGATTATGCCTTCGACAGACTTGGGAACGTGCAGTAGTCCAGCGGGAATATCCTGTGTTCATCACGTCCACCACATTCATCATGTGCATCACGTTCACCATCACCTTCATCATTTACCCCCTCCTGCCAATTCTTCTATTCCTTCCACTTCTCTCCCTCTTCCTGTCTCTTCTCAACCTTCTGTTGCCCCGGCAACTACTACTTCCGCAGACGACGCTGCTGCTCTTATCATGATGCTCGAGTCTGGCGCTACGCTTGGTGAAACTCCTCCTCCAATTTCAGTCCTTAAAGACTCGAAAACCATCGCGACAACTGAACAGCAGGTGGTGAGTTTCTCTCAGATTCACGGTTTAATCAAATTTTCGGACAGAAAAAAAGTTAGTTAGGAACTGGCGTTAGCAATTACGCTAATTTTATACTTCTCTTCAATGTTGAAGTTATGTTTGGTGGATAAAATGCGCTTTGTTTTTATGCTATTTGCATACCTCAAAGCTGCAATTAATTGTGGAAATTCAAAACCAGTCTTTAATGTCCTAAACACAAATTTTGACATTTTTGGTATCAAGATTGAAACTTGTATTACGCTTCTAGTAGTTTAAATGTTATGAAATAATTTAGTCTTTTGTTTAAAAACTATTGTGGTTGATCATCCCTCGATTGCAAAAATTTAATTTTCATTGTTGGACGCGTATGTATTTAAGTTGCAAGTTGGATTACTTAATTTTTTTGGTTTTAACTTCCAAGTGTAAACTTATTTCCTGTGCTCACTTATTTAATCATGGGATTATTCTACTCGAGGAAAGGATTTTGCTTTTGCACTTTTTCTTTTAGCTGTAAACAAAATATCGAAGGTTTTCAATAACAAAATTTTCACTTGCCAACAATAACATTTTGAAAAATTTATTCATAATCTTTATTTCTACACTTTCCATAGATGATTTATATTTGTCTATTTACTTCTCACGTTAGAACAAGCAAGCTTTAGAACTTTTTATCGTGGGAAAACATCCAGAATTTTTTTGGATGAGAAAGGAGGTTTTGGTTAGCAGTGACAAGAATCAGTACACCAGAGCCCTTGTTTTTTTCCTCCCTCAGAATTGTCAGATCAAATAGCTCCTTTGTTCGTTTTCACTCCATTTACCAGCAATTTGAAACCCTGTCTAAATGCACTAGGAGGTTTTTGACTTCTTCCCCTCTTTTTGCAGGTTGGAAATTCTGGAAATACGCACACCTACAGTGCATATGGAGTTAGGGGAGGTGGGGGTGCGAATGCAGGACCGTGTTGTCCCGCCGACACGGTACCATCTCAACAGGGGGTGCACACCTCCACTTCTACCACGCTCCATCGTCAGAATACTGTCTGCTCGAATCCTCGCTGCATAACCACCACTACCCATTCATGTCGTCCTCATGTTCAAGGTAAGCGTCTGGCTAGTCATGTGATTTTTAATCTCTGTCGTAGTGCCTGTGTTGTCGCGTCGGAGTGTGCTTTGGACAACCGCACTCGGACTGGTTGGCTGTGTGTATGTGTGTGTGGACTGGTAAGATGAGTCATTAGTATAACTCTGCTGCAAGCTAGCTACTGTGTCGTCGCCACTGCTGTAGCGATGCACACAAAAACCCAGACCTTCTAGTCCCCTAAACTCTAAGCTAGGTTTGGCTCTCGCTGGCTGGCTGTGGCCGCCAATGTTTGTTCCGCCCATAGAACGAGATGCTTGCGCAGATTGTATTTACACAGACGCAGTGCGAGTGAGATGAGGTTCTAAGTGCTACACATCCTTCGTTGTTGTGCCAGGCATCACTTAGTTTAAGATGTGAGTGTGCGTAATCGGATCTTTCCGGTATTATATGAATGCAGATTGATAGACATTTAGAAATTCATTTTATTGATCAGTTCTATTTTCGGTGATTTACATTGCAAACAGTGTGGAGGTATCTTGGGAGTTCTCCAACTTGTTGGCAGTGACACCTTATTAAATCAATGTTATTGGGCTCAGATTGACGTTAAGATTTACTGTGGTCGGTATCATATTGTGGTCACTCAACAGGCATAGTATTATTGTGAACCGCGTTGACGTCTTTAGAGCACATATTTCAACGTCTCCTTAGTAAATCTGAGATGTGATAAACATTGGATGAATGTTATCCGAATTTGATTTTTACTTGCTGAGTAAGTAGTTGAATGGGTTTTAACCGATTTCTTATGCACTGTCTGTGGGGATAAAAGTGTGCTTGTGTTGGCTTTATATTCAAAGCTATTAGAACATTTCCTTCGGTAATACAGAGGTGATTTCAATGCGTGACTACTTCCGAAGTGAAGTACTTTGGTCTTCATGCTAATTTATTACGCACTTTTTGGACCTTAACTATTCTAACTCCCTAATTGCCAAGATGCTAGACATCTGTTACAAATAGACTATCCTTAACACTCGTATTAATTTCAATATGAGCTTTCAAATAACTAGCATATAGTTTTAGTAAATGTTTATTTGGGAAGCCATTCAACTAATCTCTTATGTAAAGTACTTTTCTTAAACTGGTTCAATAACTATTTACTGTGACGTTACCTCTAATAAATTAAATTTGGGAATATGACATATTCTTCAAAAGGTGTTCTTTTTTTCAGTATCGATCCCAAATGCTTACAATCACGAGAGTGATTATATTTTGTATAGTCCAGCTATATTGCATTTTTACTGTTGTGTATTTGTATTATTGATCTAATCTTATAATAGCATTACTCACGAGTCTAGGTGTCTCCTTTTCTTGCCAAAACGTCTATTTTTGGATGCAACTGTCAAGTTGTAGCAAATATATTTAATATAAACATGTAATCTCAACTCCCTGCTGGCGGGGCCTGCTTACCAATTCTGTTCGCACTCGTTTCATTTCAATTTCGCTCAAAAATACATGTGAGGATGTGGTGGAAGGAGAGAGAGAGCAAGCAATTGTACCAAATCTCTCCTCTAAAGACAGATAATAACGCGTGAATTTCGTGTATCCTCTCCCATAGTTTGTGCTAAGCAGTTATTGCTGTTTTAATTGTAAATACGCGTACTGTACTGCTTATTAACTGAGTACTCGGTTTATTTGCATTTACACGTGGACCTTTGTGCGAATTAAGGCATTTTTTTTTCTATTTACACTAACTGCAGGTCTGATAAACTCGACTTTTGCCAGCTTTATTTCTAGGCTATGAAATCTCTAATTTATTTCTACCCTCTTTCTTTGTTACGAACTTTAAATGATTCCTCCGTTCATATTGTCTGTCCAATGGGTTAGACGCTTTCATTAAACTTTCCCATTACTATTCTTTTCCATTTCTTATTATTATGGTAAAGAATAGTGTCAATAGGTTGATATTCTTCTATTACAGTCATATATATATATATATGCATGCATATATTTTTTACCTAAACTTGCATGTTGCAAAGTTATGGAATTGGTGCTTACCCCAACGCTTTGTAAACTCGTGTGTGTAGCTCCAACCGTAAAATTTTTCGCAATTGTTCTCTTATTCGTGCAAAAACTGTTGTTCATTGCGTTTTCACTAAATAGAATCTAACAGGATTCAAGAGTGAAATTTCTTATCAGCAAATCAACAAGTATTTTAATGGATTCCAGAGGCAATTTCTATTTTACAAAGCAGTGGTTTCAAAATTTTATTATTGTCTTCCGTTAAATGAGTATAATATTTACTGTAAAATGGTCCTTATGAATCTTGCTTCATCTGAGATTATGTGATCTATATTTAGATCTCTGATCGGTTTGGTTATTTCTGTGAATGATCGTGCTACTCTGATTTACCATTATCTCTATAACCAAACGGTGTTGTTTTTAATACAGTAATATAGTCTACTCAAGTGCACTGTCAAGCCATGTTCTTAGTAAAATTGGTGGTTTAACTTAAATGTGCATTACTTGTTTTGTCTCCTAGGTTCCCCATGCGACCATCTTAGGACGCCAACTTCAATCGAGTTGGCTGAATTAGCTGAAGCCGGTGCGGAGGCAGTTTTCGCCACAAGCAGTCGGCCAACAGCAACAAGTAGTGGATCCTTCACTGTAGAGCCTCCCCACTTATCATCCTCGCCTCCTAATACCACCACCACCACAGCAGCCCAACAACACAACATCAATGCTTCAGCCCCGAATTCTCCAGCACCTGGATCCAGTGGACAGACTCATTTGATGCATCATATGCATCACCATCATATGCACCACATGTTGCATCATCTTCGAACGCCTTCTGTACCTACATCTACTTCCACTCTGGGTGTTGGACAGAACACTACGACCGCGACAATTGCTCAGTCAGTTCCAACTTCGGCTTCTAATCAACAGTCTTCCACAAATGCGGCGGACCATAGGTCTTCTTTCCAGGAGAGTATGAAGGCTTTGAGAAAGGTAAAGGGGCTGATTATATATAAATCGGTTGCTGCTTTGTATTTATTGAAATTTGCCGATCAATTTAAGATGTGATTTATCCGGGATTGGAGCAATTGAAGTTCCCTTATTTTGTAGCAGCGTTTCTCTGTTTCATACACGATTGGAATCACAAGTTCTATCGTTTTTTGCATGATTCCAGACATGGTAATTTTTAATTATCGATTAGTGTCACTTGGTATTTTTTGGAGGTCTGCTTTTTTTGCAATTTAGTCCTATTTGTATAAACACACGAATTCGACGAAAGTAGCTGCTAATAGTCTAAGCACTAAATTTGAGCTTATTCCATATCGGTTAATGGTTCGCCATTAGAACTGTCGGAATTGGAAATATTTTGCTTTTATTCTCGAGAGTTTCTCCGTTTTCTAGTCTTCTATTTTTCTGCTGTTCATTCATTAAGACGACTTTTGCCTATTGGCGGCCTTGAAATAATCGAGTTATTAGGGCTTCTGTAATCGTTGGACTTCTTTAAATGTATCCATTTATCATGTGTTGAAACCTTGTACTGGGGGAAGGTAGTAATGTTTCACGAGGCGTTGGAACGTTGCGATGTGGTATAAAGCGAATGCGAATGCACGCGTGTTTAGTGGAAAGGTACTGCTCCTGCTCTCTCTGCAAAATTGTGTATGATTCACTTTTCATTGCGTCGTCGTCGTCGTAACACCTGCAGCAATAGAACACTTTGGGGACACGCGCATTCACTGACAATGTGATGTGCTGCTGCTGCTGAGGGCTGGCTGGCAGCCAAACGCGCGCCGTGCGGCGATGCCTCCCCTTTCGTGCGCGCACATACAGCCTCATTCACTCAGAGCGGTGGGCTACTATTAGCCCCTCCCTTCTTCCGTCATATTCCTCTCCTCTCTCTCTCTCTCTCTCTCTCTCTACTGATGCTGCTGCTTCGGCGGCGCTGGTTGTGCTATTGCTGCTAATATAGCAGAGGGAGGGAAACTTAACTTGGCGCGCCTGATGTGGAGTTTGCCTATGTGCATACTTTCACAGAATGAGAATTTTTCATCAAGGCGCTTCTAGAATGCTATTACTCTCTCCCTCCCCCCTCCCTCTCTCTGCGATGAGTGTTGGCAATTCTTTATCTCTCTTACGCTATTTTTAGCAATCATAATCCTTCATAGTATTTTTCTTCTACTTCTTAAAACAACTTTAGTTTTAAATGTATTTTCATGGCCTAAATCCGTTGTTTATTTTTTTTTCCAAGTTAGTAGAAAGTACTTTATTGCTACTGGAGAATGCTTTTGAAACATTTCTACTTTGTGTTTGTTTTTTTCTAGTGGATTTTGATTCACTAGGTTCATCTGATGTCCTTTTCTAACTGCGTGATTTAATATTCGCCTGTTTAAGTACAAATTGTTCAAATATTTACATTATTATTTGGTTTAAATTGTGAATAAATGAAGGCATAAAGAAGAGCATTCCCTTCTACCACTACAATGCATCTTTGTTTTGTTTTTTCTTTGTAAATCCTTCGATTTGGTTTTTTGGCGCGCACATCTCCAGGTTGTTAATTTAAATTTTGCTCAAATCGCCTTAATACTCTTGTTTATTGGAATGCATTTTATCTCCATTTGCAGACACGTTAATTTAAGGATTGAATTTCAATGTTTAATAATTCAATATTGTTTTACCTCAGTTAAAATATGTTCCATATTGTATCGATCGAAATTTGTCTGGAAATAATCTTATTGAGTTATTGACTCATTCAGAGCCGGTCCAGCTTTAATATTCGATGTCTAGAATATGTTTAGATTTTTTGTTTATATACGCCTATGCATGTTTATGTGTTTAGCTTTGAATGGGTTTTTATATCTACGTATAATCTTTAAGTCTGCCGCGCTTATCGGTCCACCTTTAAGTCGAGGAAGAATTCACAATTAATTCTCAGAATAGCATACTGGTTTAAACCCTGTTGTTGTGACTACTTGCTATCCCCGTTAAAATAATCAGATAAAAGACCCTTTATCATAATGAGAGTGACATTGAGTGCTTGCATGAGGAGTCATCTAATTATCTCCATTTACTACTTTTAAATTAAAATACATTAATATTCTCTATTTCACGGGACCTCTTGTTTTGGCCACCCTGATTTTTTTGTTCATTTCTCTCGACCTACATAAATTATTGCTGGTGATCAATCTTGCCACTGTCGGATTTCGAACTTGTGTCCATTGAATAGGAATTGCTTTCATCGTCTAAAATCGAGTGAAGGTAGATCTTGGTTATGTCAAAGGTAGTTTGGTGTTTATAAATTTATCAGTTCTTGTGAGCCATGAGAGTTTCGAATTATCTGAATAGAGCCGTTTATGTTCTCTCGTTGAAGGTAATCGAATTGGCCTTCTATTAGTTTCCATAGAGTTAGCTATTAGCTACCACGCAAAACTACTATCATGTAAGCTTAACTGCCTGTTATGATAGCTCTGGATGGCTTAATTATTCCGCTTTCCTAGAGTCTCGTCTCAATTGAGAACTCGTGAGTTATAGATGGGAAGTATTACTTTAATATGTAAGCATATTGAGTGAGAGTTCTAAATGTTCCCAAGTAAATATGGATAAAGCCAATACCCTAGGTTTCTGTTTTAGTGAAGGATTACTTAATGATCAACCGATCCTTGGAGTGTGTTGTAAGAAAGGCAATTGTATCTAGATTGAAAAAAAAATGCGATTTCGGCTGGAATAAGGAAAGAGAGGGCGAGTATGTTTAAAAGTGTATTTGTCTGCTAACAACGACGAGCTCGCACAATTCCTTTTGCTGCGCACTGTGTGTGTACCTCGGTGCGTCGGTGCAACCCCTTTATGTACACGTGCCGTTTTTGGCATTTCGCCAATTCCTAGACACCACCTTTGTGTTTGTGTGTGTGAATATGTTCCTCTATCGTGTGTGCGCCAAATCTAATCATTCTCTCCCCTTGTATTTTAGATGGGTTGGTATTGGGGTCCCCTGAGCTTTACTGAGGCGGAGAAACTCCTTGCTAACCGGCCCGATGGTACATTCCTCGTACGAGACAGTGCCCACGATACCTTCTTCCTCTCCCTGAGTTTTCGTGTTCGCGATTCTACCTATCACACTAGGATTGAACATAATCAAGGTTAGTGTTAGAATTCCATGTGGATTTTAATTGGCAGAGTTTGCCTATATATAAAGCAAGAAGCTGCCCCTCTTCCTTGCTTAATATTACCTGTCCTATCTGCAAACTGCCTATCTAGCTAGCTAGCTGTGTTTGTGTTGGCTATCGATCGTGATAGCCAATACCACCTTCACGCGAGCGTGTGTATTAGCTAGCGCGCGTGTATGTGCCAACCGCCACCACTTCTACACCACTACCGCGCACTAAACTGATTTCATATGTGCATTTTCTACCTGCCTGCCTGTGCGCGCGCACAATTACTGCGTGCTGTGTTACTAGGGCTCTCGCTCACACCGAGTTGAAGAGGCTACTTGTGACCTTGACACCCCATGCAAAGTACAGCCTGACTTGCTTCCCGAGTATTAACAACTCTCCACGCCCGCTTTTACTGATTTCCAATTTCTACTTTATTGCTCCTATAAAAATGACCATTATTAGACTCAAAGGAAGTGTGCTTCTAGTGGTTGACCTGAGGCAACGGTCCACACATAACTTGGTCTCTATTGTTTAAAATTGTCTTTAAAAGGTATACTTCCTACACTGGGGGTGGGGGTTAATATTGAGCATAGAGTAATCTAATAGAAGCAGTTAATGTGAGAATTTAGTGTAATTCAGCCCACATTGATGGAATAATTCTCTGGCAAACTCTTCCAGTTCCCAAAATCCTCATTTGCACATCGCTACAGTCATCATCAGGATAAAACGAATGACTTTATTTTAATATAACTTCTAAAACCCATTACGGAAAGTGTTTGAAACACTGGGCTTTGCTAGATGATGGCGGGGGGGGGGGGGTATTTTGGAGCCACTCTACTCTGGAACAGAAAAATTTGCCACACATTTCGTCAACCTAACAATCTCTAAGTTCTCAAACGTACGTTGACCACAGCGCTACCCTTAAAATAGCATCTATATGTAGCATTTCTTTTCATACTCATTTAATGACATATTGATCGCGGTGCTGGTGGTTAAAATCGGTATTAGTTTTCAGGTAGGTCTAGCACCGTGTGTATTCATCAATACGCTTGATAACAATACCAGGGCTTTCCGAACATCCTCGCCCACCCGATTATTTAGGGTTAAAAGCTAAAATCCGGTCTTACAGCTTTTCCCCATTTGGGACTGAATCTTCTTAGGTGAAATACTTTGCTTCCATATTTTAACGCCCATGTGAGCATATTGGATTGGGCGGTTATTTGGTTCTAAAAATAGTTTCATGAAACGGTATTTTCCATTCAGCCGCCCCTTGGGGGGGGGGGGTTATTTTCGAAAACCCCGGTAATTGAATATGCCTTTTTTAATATTTCAAAAAAATGATGTTCCGAAGTTTCTCACCGAATTTTGACGTCTTATCATTATCGGAATATATGTCCCCACTGATTGTTATGATTAAAACCTGAGTTGAAGAAGAGGTGTGATTTTTCTGGCAAAATAATAGCTCTGATCTCACAGCTCCTTTATTCCCATAATTAGTGATGTTATCTGGTCCTTTTCTTGAAAATATAACTTGATCTGTTCTAGTTTGTAAATGAGCTTGGTCTTATCAATTTGCTTAACCAATGTTTGCTTTCGATTACAGGACGATTCAGCTTTTGGTTCGAACCGGAGTCTCATAGTGCAAGCACAGTGGTGGAGTTTATCGAAAAGGCCGTTGCACATTCAATTGGTGGAAAGTACCATTACTTTCTGCAGACAAGCACACCAGGTCAACAGCCCGTAGAGGTATCTCTCCTATACCCTCTTTCGCGATTCCAGGTTGTGCAATCACTCAAACACTTGGCACGTTTCACCATTCTCTCCCATGTCCGACGAGACCATGTAGCGCGCCTACCACTACCCCCCAGCCAGATTGGTTATCTCCTGGAAAAACAAGTCTATTGGGAGTCCCTGGAAGATTTTGAAGAGGCTATTCGTGATCGACCGCCTCTTCAATTTCCTCTCCGCTCTTCTTCTCCCCAAAAACCTTGAAATCCTAATCTCTCCTGGTGAATCCCACGCTCCTTTCGTTTCGGCGCCTTTATTTCTTCCTACTCTTTTCGAGCCAAAGTTGCCACCCTTCCCTCTTTTGTACAGAGCAATATGTATGGAGGTGTCTCTCACATTTTCGATTTGTGTACCCTGTTCCCTGCCGACTCTTGAAAAGTAAACGTGCTCACGCGCATCTATGGTTCTGTGTATGAAATAATCCCGGTTTATCTTTCCTCTGCATGTAAATATTTGCACACTAGCATACATACTCCAACGCTCGCTCGCGCCGCGCGTTTTATCGGCTTCTGTTCTCTCTCTTCTTCCCGTCCTACAGTGTCTTCTTCTCTTTCCATACTTTTCGTGACGCCAAAATATACCAGTCTGAAGTAAGCGGCAGAGGTGAGAACCAAATTACCCGGTGGTACCTATTCCTTCTCTTTCCTATCTCGGTCCCCCGCCTCCCCCCCCCCTTTCCCCTTCCTGAAGCCCCTGTGTAGTACAAAACTCTGGTCCCTACCTTCCCCGACTTTATACACACATCTATCCAGTTATATATAAATATATACATGTATTCTATATGCACTTGTTTGCGTGTTTTTGTTTTGCAATATGAGGAAGGGTTTGGGGATGCTTGAATACCGGGCACTTGGCTTGGCAATCAGTCGGATATGATGGGAAGGGTAATATTAAAGACTGTAACCACTTCTTGCAAAGACTGAATGACAAGATCACTTCTTAGTATAGGGTAGCATGTTGCACTATTTGGGGAAAAAGCCCAAACTTTAGAGTTGACCTGACCGGTATCTACGTAATTGGACATCACAACTACCTGAAGTAATTAGCAAACTCATGGGAAAAAGGCTTTTTCCCGGTGCTTCCTTTGAGTTGGCGAACTTTCTTCCAGTGAACCCCTGGCTTGCTCAAATAGACGTAGACTCCATGATGTATCCAACTTGTCCAATCACAACGTTCGATTTATTTCAAATTTCATCTCATCACCATGTGTAATTAATGGTCAAGCGTTCTTGTTAATACAATTAAAAAAAATGACAGAATGACTGCTCATCTCCACATTGACTCCAGGGTGAGAGTTTTCTATCCACGATGCAAGTTGAAAACATTTTTCGTCAACAAGCTTAGGAATTACTGCTATATTCGCTGTATTTTAAAAAAAATAGTGTGATATATCGTCAAATGGAGATTTACACGTCTTTACACATGCACCCTTTCTAAAGACATACGTGTTTAAAACTTCCCATACTAACATCTATTCTGTCAACGTCGTTCTACTGATGCTTGTGTCAAAGGTACAAAGAGAATAGATAATTCCTGTTTTCTAGTCATTGGATAGAGATGGGAGATAAAATTGCCATTTTTATTTAAAAGAGCTGGTGATAAACCTTGAAGACGAGTCAATTTCATTGGGGAGTGTCGGCCTGAATGATGTCCGAGAAAAGAAAAAAATGGATAATTTTGGTAAATGCTTTATATAAAAAGTCATTTAAAATAAGAGGTCCCTCATTTTGTAAGTTACCTTAATATGAAAGATTGGTTACGTCTATTTGACAGGATGTAGAATCGATTCTCTGAGAGGAATCGATAAAGCGGAAAAATTCTGCCTCAGGGTAATCGATTTTTCAATTCTAATTACACCCCCCCCCATATCACACAATCTGGAAATAAATTTTCCGCACAGCTTTTCTACTGGTAAACAATTAATTTGATTATCCCTTGGCTATATGAAGACAAGAGTTCTTGGAACGACTTAACAAGACTGCTTGCATTCACCTTTGAAGTCGTAATACCAGTAGATACTGGGTGGTCATATCATCCATTTTATAATCGCCTTGAAGGGGTGTGCGATAGGCTTACCTCCACGTGGTGCACCCTGGGCAACGTATACTCATACGGCAAAAATGTCTCTTAACTGGCAGTTGACTTCTGACTTCAAACTATTATGGCCTACTACAAGTCATATTCGAATAATTCCACAGTACTCACCTCACCTTTTTTCTACCTTTGTGTCTGTCTGTCTCTTTTACGTCTGTGAATCATTATTCTGTCCCCCTCTCGACTTTTTACCACTTGGATGTTCATCTTCCTTTCTGTGAAGCCCGAAGTCAACTAAAGAGCTAATGATACCTATCATAACGCCAGCCATTTGA